TGAGCCTAAAAATGCACATTATAACCTACCTATAAACATGGTGTCCATACACTAGAAATTTAATTCTAAGCCTCCCAGGATCAGATGCTTTCTCAAGATCTCACAGTTTTGGTACAGACTGGACTCAGATCTAGATAAGGTCCAGTTCAGGTCCACCTCAGGTCCCATACATTTGACTTCATTATTAGCCTGTACTTGAAACTATCACTAGGAAGGTCTCTCTATTCAATCTTCTTTTAAAATCTCTCAAGGACTTCTGCTTCTAGATAGAATATCTAGCTTGATATTATCACCCCCTGTTTATCATAACCAGAAAAGCTGAATAAAATATTTCAAATCTCTGCCTGAAGGCACCAAAGCAGGAAGGATTTGAAGGATTGAGATCTCAGGGAGAAGAGAAGCACAGAGAAGTGAGCCTGACAGCATGCTACTTTTCCCTTTAGGACACTTGCTGATTCACAGTACTTAGCTGACAGCCTGAGAATCTGAGCAGATCTTCGGACAATCTCACAGACTGGAGGCTAAAAATTTGAGTTTCACGGTCACCAGGAATGAAGGTTCCCAAGAAACACCCTGGGGTTTTCAGTTGGGACCCCTGAAGGACTGTTCCCCAGGAGTAAAGGTAATAGGAAATAGACCAACACTTAAAAAGACTGAAATCCGGTTTTGCTTGTTTGTTTATTTTTAGGCAATCAATGGATATTTTTATTCCTGCTGACATTGTCATGGATGCTATTGTTATCATTACTTTGTATCTAACAAAGTTGTAAATGTTAGAACAGCATAGAAAAACATTTTTGTAGTTGAAAACACATACCATAAAACTTACCATCTTAAACTTTTTTTTTTTTTTTTTTGAGAGAGAGCAGACACATGGGCATGTGTAGGGATGAGCAGAGGGAAAGAGAGAATCTTCAACAGGCTTCATGCTCAGTGTGGAGCCCAAAGCAGGACTAAGTCACATGACCATGAAACATGACCTGAGCTGAAATCAAGAGTTGGACACTTAACCGACCAAGCCACCCAGTCGCCTGAATCATTTTGACCATTTTTAAGTATACGGTTTAGTAGTGTTCAGTATGTTTACATTGTTGTGAAAGAGATCTCAAGACTCTGACTCTTTCCCTCTTGCAGAACTGAAACTCTGTACCAATTAAACTACAACTCTTCCTTGCCCCTTCATCTCAGGTTCAGGACCACCCCCTGAGCCAAAGGCAGACACTCAACTGCTGAGCCACCCAGGCGACCCCCCACTTCTCATTCTTTTGGATAATATACCCAGAAGTGGGATTGCTGAATCATATGGTTGTACTATCCTAAACTTTTTGAGGAACTGCCATACTGTTTTCCACACTGGTTGCACCATTTTACCATCCTACCAACAATACACAAGAATTCTAATTTCTCCACATTCCCACCATTATTTGTTATTTTCTGTTTTTCTTTTAATAGCAATCCTAATAGGTATAAGGTAATATCTCGGTGTAGGGCTTTTTTTGAAGTATAGTCGACATACAATGTTGCATTAGTTTCAGGTGTACAGTATAGAGATTGGACAGGTCTTTATATTATGCTATGCTCACCACAAGTGTAGCTACCATCTGTCACTACATGATGCTATTACAATACTGTTGGCTATATTCCCTATGGTGTACCTTTTATTCCTGTGACTTATTCATTCCATAACCAGAAACCTGTATCTCCCACTCCCTTTCACCCATTTTTCTCATTTCTCAACTCTCCTCCCCTCTGGCAACCATCAGGTTGTTCTCTCTATTTACGGTTCTGTTTGCTTTGTTCTTTGATTCCATATGGTATTTGTCTTTCTCTCTGACTTATTTCATTTGGCATAATCCTCTCTAGGTCCATCCATGTTGTCACAAGGGGTTAAGATATCTTTCTTTTTTATGGCTAAATAATATTCCTCTGTGTGTGTGTGTGTGATATCTTTTTTATACATTCGTGTGTGGATGGACACTTACATTGCTTCCATATCTTGGCTATTGACTCTAATGCTACAATAAACATAGCAGTGGATATATCATTTTGAACTAACATTTTAGTTTAGTTTAATTCCAGGAGTGGAATCACTGGATTGTGTGGCATTTACTTTTAATATCTCAATGTAATTTTGATTTGCATTTTTCTCATGATTAATGATATTAAGCATCTTTTTGTATGCTTTTTGGCCATTTGTATATCATCTTTGGAGAAATGTCTATTCAAATCCTTTGCCTTGTTATCTTTGTTTATTGCTCTGTAACTTGGGCCTAGAAAATTCAGTACATAGGTACTCAGTAAATGTTAAATAAATAGTTGAAAGACAAGCTTGGGAAGGCTTTAGTTCAGAGGAATGACTCCAATGGGGATTGCAAGCTCCTATGACAGACAAGGGTGGAGAACTATTTGTCCTTTTTTTTTTTTTTTTTTTTTTTTTTTTTAGTATTTGTCCTTTAAGTGAATCTCCAATCACATGAAGTTTGCTCAGCCCTGCAAAATAGAAACAAATAGAAACTACTTTAAACACTTACATTGCAGGCGATGACTATGATCCAAGACTTAGAGGAAACAGATGCCTACTAGTGATCACTGTCCAAACTCTTTATAGACTCCCTGACTGAAGCTCTTCATCCCTTGGCTCTAGCCTTACTTTTTTCCTGCTACTTAGCTCTTCCAGCTCTGATCTCTAGCTATCTGACTGACTTGCAGTTCCTGACTGCTTTGCTCCACCCCAACCCCTTGGACCCTGAGTCTCTTCGGCTAGCTCCCGGTCTTTCAGGTTTTAGCTTAAATGCCACTCCCTCCAGGAAGCTTTCCTTGACTCACAATCCCAAGATTAGACAAGCTGCCCCTCTTCGTGCTCTCATAACACCCTACACTCACTCCAACAGTAGTTCTCACCACTCTGTTATAACCTCCTGTTCATTTTTCATTCTCCACATGCTTAGACTTGAGGTCCTTGAGGACAGGCAAGGACCTTTTTGTGTCCTCAGTGCCTAGGTCAGGCCTGGCCCCTAGTAGAAACTCTGTGAATATTTGCTGAGTGAAAGAATTAATGAATGTAGTGTTAAAGTCAAGATTCAAGAAAGCGTCTGAGGATGTGGTAGTTGAAATGTTCTAAGTACTTTAGAGGTCACTGTCTCTGCAAGATGTTCTCATCCACAATGTTTTCCTGAAAACATGTTTCATGATTGTTAGGCAACAGTTACAGAATGAAATAATTATATGCTACTTCCTGACCCCTGCTGTCAGGGTTCTCCTAGTTCTCAGCCTATTCCTTAATAGGACCTCAACCTGCTATGTAATTCTCACCATACCCTTTTCTTTCCCTCTGATCAATTACACTTACCCTTTTGTTTATATATAATAGAAGTATTTATTTAATGTGTGTGCATTTAATATATGCCTAACATGGCTGTCTCAGTCATGTAGCTAGTTCCTGGAGGGCAGGTGCATCATGCCTTTCTCCATCTCAAACTTGGCACAGTGCCATGAGAAATCAGGTCCCTCTGAGAGGAGACAATGACTGGAGTTGCTTCGTGTACAGAAGGAGCATGCACACAAGCTACAACCAATAGAAAGGTCTGAAAGTACTTCATTTCCTACCAAAAATCTATTTCACTGCATTATTCAACTGGCTTTATCTCTGAACCATGGTCATTCCAGGTCCATCCAGCACCACAATGCACTGGCAGACTTCAAGCCAAGAGGCTGGAACTGTTAAGAGGAACATCTTGGATATGATATGGAAAGAGATTCAAAGGAAGGCCAAGTGGGAGATCTTGTAGGTTTTTTTCCCCATGATATGAAGAGAGTGGGTAGTATGTAGAAACGTTTACAACGGTTTTGGTTTTCCTGACCAGATCATGACTGACACATCATCTGTAAATATCTTATTTACCTGTTGACGTATCTACTATCTGTATCCTACCTCCTTACATAGAATGTAAGCTCCATGGGGGCAGAGCCTTTGCTTTCTTTACTGTTTTCTCCCCTACGTTCAGAACAGTGCCTGGCACATACTAGGCACTCAGTAATTCAGCCTTGAATGGACTCAGGCATTGAAACAATAGAACACTCTTAGCATCCAGGGAATATGTGGGCACTGCTGCAGGGAAAGTGATGACTACATGAGTGTGAAGGAGGTGAGAACAAGGATTGAAGTTTATTGGGACTAGGGCACTTGCCACTGCAGTGACAAAATGACAGCGAGCTACTCAGCCAGTTTAAGTGGGGGGAGCAGTAAGTCATGGCCAAGCCCAACCAGAGTCCTCAGACCTCTGTGCTATCTCACACTTCTGGATTGGACACCACAGAGTTTCTGGGCTCTGATCAGAGTCGTGGGGAACTGTGCAAATGGCCCAGGGGATTATCCATCGCTGACATCTCCTGTGCTGCTTACTTTGGAGCCCTGCAAAGCCTCTGTCATGGTGGGGAGTGTCACAGCTTACATTTGAACTTGCTCCTTCTCTTGAAGCTTAAAATCCATGCATCCAGCTCATTGTTCCAGAATTTATAACCTCAAGTCTACATAGACATTCCTGTAACCCTTGATGTCCTTAAACTTGTTGCTTCTCAGATTCGCTTGGATCTGCCTTTGGCCACTCTTGAAGGGGACAGTCTCCAGAGTGATGCTGGCCCTGTGTTGAGGTTTGAGGATTCCAATGCTGTAGCAGAGAAGAGAGAATTTTAGAAGACCATGGGTATTATGAGAACCCCAAAGCTCTTTTCCACTCAGCAACCAGGGCTTTCCTTCCCTGGTGTTCTCAGAGATTGGCCTGGGTGCCCATCACCAGAAAGAAGGCTAGTGAAAACCCCAGGATAAGATGGGAGCAAAGGCTGAGTACTACCAGCACTCACAGGACTCTCTGCTGTTTCTTGAAGAGCCCACTTCCTTCCACAGTTAGCACACAGTCTTCAACGTACTCTGAGAGGGGGTTTGAAAATAGCACCTGGATGGAGAGTGGCTGGTTCACAATGGCAGCTCCTAAAACCTAAACAGAGAGATCCAGAGGAGAAGAAGGAAGCAGAAGATTAATCTCATTCCCCAATTCATCAAACCTTTACAGACAGCATTTCTCTTCAGATCTATTTCCTGAAGAGCTGGATTTCTATGGCCCATGTTTTTCTAGGTATGGGTTAAGACCAACTTGATATGTTGTCATTAATGTTTTTTAAAAATGAAACAGAAGAAAATATCAGCGTACATCATGAAAGATATTGTTATGTAAAACTTTGATTCATTTCTACATTCATAGGTGTTTGTATAAAATATTTTATATCCCTCAACCCAGAATATGGAAAAATCTGATAAATTGGATACTCTAGTAATGTTATCTCTGCTCAAAAAAAAAAAAAAAGTTATCTCTGCTCCAAGGCTTTCATCTGAATGTAAAATAATCCCAAAGGATTCTCATGCATAATTTGAGTGGATAGAATCTTCTTTGGCACTTTCTTATTGCAAGTCTACTACATTCCTTTTCTCCCTCTTAACATAATGGGCTCACTTCTTTTCACACCAATATGTGAGTGTAGAGCAATGGAACATTCAAGGCCATAGAAAGATGGAAGTAGCTTCAGGAAACCTGGAGGTACTTTTGGATACCCTCCCTAAAACAAGACTCCAGTGGCTGGGCTTGCTGGATGCACCCCACCAGGCATCCCAGAGGCTCATTTGACAAGGTCCAGGAGGCTGCTTGGCCTTGGGGAAACAATACTGAAGAGACCCATGAAGTCTTCCCACTCAGAGGACCACAGAATGTCACAGCAGATGGTGTCCTCAGAGGCCAGCTAGTCTAATCCTCTCATTTGACAGTTCCCGAAGCAGAGGCCCAGGGACTTGTCCAAGAATGCATGGCTAAGAGGTGGCAAATCAAATCTGAGCTGATCTCAGGCAGTGCTCTTCTCCCCATTCAGGTTCCTTCCACTGGAGCTCATAGTTCCTCATGTTGACCCTGGGGAAGACCAACAGTGGGAGGTGGCACAAGAAAGAGATCTCTTCCTGTCCTCTCCATAGCACCTGCTCAAGGTCTACCCATAAGGTCTTTATTTTTTTATTCATGAGAGAGAGAGACAGAGACAGAGACATAGGCAGAGAGAGAAGCAGGCTCCCTGAGGGGAACCTGATGCAGGACTCGATCTCAGGAACCCAGGATCACAACCTGAGCTGAAAGCAGATGCTCAACCACTGAGCCACCCAGGTGCTCCAACCCATAAGACTTTAGTGGTGCAAGAGGATGGACATCTTGTCCAGTGTTTTCAGATGAATCTCACGTTCCCAATAGGAAGGTACTTGGGAACACCAGAAGAGGCAGTGGAAAAGAGAGACTGCTTTTCTGAACAGAGTCTTGGAGGGCTGCACTCCCCCCAACCCCAGCCAGATCCCCAGGAGCCCCCCAGACAACTTACATTAATTATGATGCCTGGATAGGCTAAGGTGATGATCTTGTCCACCAGGATCTTTTCTGGACTGCTCTTCTCTTCGCCCAGGGCACTGATGCGAATCAGCTTGTCTGTTGACAGGTACTGGCTATACTGGGAATAGGGAATTCTACAGGAATGGGTCTTTGCTAGGGAGAAAACAAAAAGATGAGGTGAAAGTAGCTGGGAAAATCAGCTAGGTCTGGGTTAGATCTAGAGGGATCCTTCTTTGGAGAAGAAGGAACTAACATGTACTGAGCCCCAGTGAAGCAGATATTAGGTTTTCAGGTAGAGAGGCAAAATGGTTTCCACAAGGTCATTCTCCTGGTAAATGGATGGATCGAGGTTCTAACCAAGTTCTGGATGCCTCCAAAGCTCAGGCTTTCCCTACTAAATCAGGCTCCCTTCCTTGGAGTAGTAAAGGGATGGAGGAGGAAGAAGAGAAAGGAGGGAAGAAGGAATCTGTGCCAAAGGGGACATTTAGGAAGACTGGTATCACAGGGACCTGTCCCCAGAACATTTTTATCTGGGTTGTTCCTACTGGCATTTCCATAACCCACTCTGTGTACACAGACTGTCCTCATGCCTATACCCAGGGCGCATACCTTCTTCAGGAGAGAGTGTGATGAAGGCTGTGTCCTGCCAGAAAGCGAGTAGCGGGCTACCATCATGCAGCAGGGACTGGGCACTCAGGTTCACTTTGAGGTCCTTGAACTGGAATGACATGTTAAGGGCCAGCAGGACAAAGCTTATGTCCTGGCCCATGTGGGGTGGGGCAAGCAGCTGGAATTTCAAGGAAACCTGGACAACATCACTGGGCTGAAGGGAAGGCATATGTAGCCTCCGAAGGCTGTCCTCGCTCAGTGGCATGGATGTCGATGCTTGATGGGGGTCTTCAGACCTTCCAGCCCTCAGCTTCTGAAGAGCCTTCAGGAACACCTGCCTCTCCTGGGGGGAACCTGGAAGGGCAGCGATAGCACCAGGTGTGGGCCAGGCTGACCCTGAGAGGTAAGCCTTGGCTGAACACTGCAGGCCTGTTAAACCCCATTTCTAATAACAGACACTCCCTACTCTTCATCAGGTGCTTTCTTTTATTTTTTCTCTCTCTCTCTTCCGTTCTTTCTTTTTTAAGGATTTTATTTATTTATTTATTTATTTGAGAAAGAGAGAGGGTAAGCACAAATGTGGGTGTGTACGGGCGTGCATGAGGACAGGGAGGGGCAGGGGGAGCAGCAAGCTCCCCCCTCAACAGGGAGATCATTCAGTGGATGCAGTATGATGGGATGCAGGGCTCTATCCCAATACCCTGTGATCACAGACCTGAGCTTGAGCAGAAGGCAGATGCTTAACCGACTGAGCCATCAGGCCCCTCATCAGGTGCTTTCTAAGTGTCAGCTTTGCAAAGTATTTCATACCTTTCATCCTCACATCAACCATGAGAGGGATGTATTGTTACTATTTATTGAGTATGAATATTTTTTAGCAGTGCCCATGTGACAATGATATCCCCAGTAGAGATAGGGAGGACCCTTTGGACCTTCTCTTTGGTGCCATGAAAGTCCTAGAACTATTTTTATTAAATCACTAGCACTATTTTATTCATTTATTTGTTTGTTTGCTTACCTTTTGACTCTCTTTACCCATTTCTCCCATCCCACCCCCCTGCCTCTTGTAACCAGCAATCTATATTCTGTATCTATGAACTTGTTTTCTTTTCTTTTTTTAGATTCCACATATAAAAGAGGAAATCGTACAGTGTTTGTCATAGTCTAACTTATTTCACTTAGCATAATGCCCTCAAGTTCCTTCCATATTGTTGCAAATGGCAAGATTCCATTGTTTTTTGTGATTGAATAATATTCAATTATATACCACATTTTGTTTATCCATTCATCCATCAGTTGACACTTGGGTTGTTTCCATAGCTTGGCTATTATAAAAAATGCTGCAACAAACATAGGGGCGCATGTATCTTTTTAAGTTAGTGTTTTAGTTTTCTTCAAATACTCAAATGTGCAATTGTTGGGTTATATGGTAGTTCTATTTTTAATTTTTTGAGAAACCACCATACTGTTTTCCACAGAAGCTGTACCAGCTAGCATTCCCATCAACAGTGCACAAGGGTTCCTTATTCACCATTTCCTCACCAACAAAATTGAATTCATCCAGATGAGTAAAATGGGGCTCAGAGAGGCCCTGTCATTTGTCCAAGTCCCACAACTTGCAAGGGGCAGAATCCAGGTGGAAATGAAATGTGCCCAACACAAAAATCTATGCTTCCAACCCTTAGACTCTATCCTGCCTTCCCCAGGGGAAAGACAAAGGCCCACAAATGGAGAAGAGTAAGCCTCTTAAAGACAGCAGCACAGTGTAATTTCCTGTTCTAGAACCAAACAATTGGTCAGGTGTAGACAAATTCCTGGGCATGAAGGTGAGAGAAGCCATAGGAAGAAAAGAAAGAAAGAAGAGAGAGAGAAAAAGAAAGACAAAGAAAAAAGAGGAAGGAAGGAAAGAAGGAAGGGAAAAGAAAGGAGAGAAAATAAAATTGAATTAAAGTAAATTAAAGTAAAATTCAGGCAATCGGAGTTTCCAGAGAGACTTGGCTTCAGTCCTGGGATGATACTGTGGCCAGGATACACAGGACTACTCACCCATGCTTCCCTAATAATCCTAGCAGCTGTGTTCACTTGGTACTCACTGCCCTCAGAGTCTGTCCCACCCCTTCAGAGCATCCCCACATCTTCCCCAGACAGACGCCACTTTTTATCTCCTTGCTCTGGAGGTCATTCTAAGCCTGGTTCCAGGCAGAAGAGGATCTCCACGCACATGCTTCAGCAAGAGTTGGCCCAGGGAGATGTGAATCAGGTTTAGCTCACATGTGGTCTGTTCTATCTTCAGATCCTGTCAGGCTGAGTAGGAAAAGATCAGATACTGCCTGACTGAATAGCACTCTCAAGCCCACAGGCATATAACTCCAAACCCCCAAGATTACAGTGGAATCCCATGGATCCCTAGCAAATGCTGTCAGTGCCTACCCACATCCCCTTGGCACTCACCAGTTCAGTGCCCACATGCCCTACATTCAAATTCTAGCACCTTCTACTCTTTGTCTAGGGCTTTCTTTGTTACCAGAGCTGCCATAGACTATGCATGGAACAGGCCTGAAGTGCTAGGAACTTGACACCCCAAGGAGTAAGGGCCTCAGTCCCTGCTTGACAGGAGTTGGGGGATAAATAGCCTAGCCCCCTTGCCTCTTGGGTGGGATAAATCTGTGGTGGTGTTCTGCACTTGACACTGAATCCCTGGTAGGGTTACCATATTTAGCAAATAAAAGTGTTTTCCCTGGCAACATTTATAAAGCTCCCCTGCAGGAGCTGAGCTCCAGCTGCCTGTGCTCCTAACTGGCTGGACAAGGCACCCTGCATTGGCTTTCTTCCCTCGCCTGTCTCACTTGCTCACTCTCCTTCCAGTAGTTCCTGGATGGCCTCACAGATAAACCATCCTGGTATCCTTGCCTCAGGATCTGTCCTGGGCACCCCAACCAAGGTAACCCCAGAGTGGATGGAGATGAAGGGGATGACTAACAGCAGGCTGGGCTGTGTTCAGTGCTTGCCTCTCACTGTGTAAAACCCCTTCCTTTTTTTTTTTTTTTTAAATATTTTATTTATTTATTTATTTGGCAGAGAGAGAGAGAGAGAGCACAAGTAGGGGGAGTGGCAGGCAGAGGAAGAGGGAGAAGCAGACTCCCTGCTGAGCAAGGAGCTTGATGCAGGGCCTGATCCCAGGTCCAGGGTTCATGACCCAAGCCGAAGGCAGGTGCTTAACCAACTGAGCCACTCAGGTGCACTGGTAAACCCCTTCATAGGCTTATATTCTGGAGCTTCTCTGTGGGTCCCCAAGGCCCATATAGACACACCACAGATGCTACTCTTCAGCACTCCCAGTAACTGCTCAGCTACCTCCCACTCCCCTCCTTTTCTGATTCACTCCTGCTCAGCTCCTACTCCTTTCCCAGCTTCTGGTCCTCATAGACTGTATATTTTTCACTTGGCTCCATGGTGATTGAATCCAGTGGTTGACCTTGCTCAAATTCTGGGAATGTGTTCACGCCTGACTACTGTAGTTGCCTATTTGCCCCTGCTAACCTGAGTAAGGGGCCTCTTCCAGGTCGCCCACCTCTCAGCAGAGGCAGTGTCAGACTAAACATTCGGCCTTATATTGGCCTGGGTACTGGTCGGTGGTCTGTATTGTCCTCCAAAAACTCAATAAAACAAAGTTAATTAGAAAATATGTTAAATGAAATTCATTAAATTAATAGAATAGGGTTTACTAAATCCCCTCCCATCTTGAGAAGGAGGCTAACTTTTCAGGAAGGCAGCAGGAAGGATTCATATGGTAGGATGCCCGTCGGTGGCCTTATGGTCATTGGGAACATCTTCTGGAGGATGCTCACTGGCCTGTGGGATGTGGGGTGGCGGTGGGCACAAGGAAGTGAGGCAATGAGAGCATCTCAACTGGGACCTTAAAAATGAGGAGGCATAAGACCTGGGATCTGTCCCTCAGATTCCTTCTAGTTCCCCAGAGGGCTGTCTCAGCTGGCTGGGAGGTTCCCTGGGGAAGGTGTTCATAGGACTTGGACTCTGGCAGGGGCTGGCTCAGTCATACCTTCTATGTATTTGTAGTTCTCCGTGATGTCATCTCGCTCATTGCTTTGAATGCTCTTGGTGCTGATAAAATTGCCAACAGTATTCGTTTCCCGGTGAATTTTCTGCTCCTTCCCTCCATAGACAAGCCAGGACATGCAGTCCGCATTCACCATGGAAAAGGCAAAGGCTGTGTCATAGTTCAGATCCACCTCTCCCTCTTTGATGGCTCTGACAGAGGCAGGGCCACAGCAGTAGAGGCCTGAGAACAGAAGAGTTACAATGGGCCAGGCTGTTGCTGCAGGGTCAGGCAGGGGCAAGGGCGGTTTCTGTGGGAATGGGTTCCACCTTTTTTCTGGATAGCCTCACCATTGCTTGTCTCCTGAGGTGTGGCATCCAGCACCTGCCAGCCTCCATATCCAGGAGGGAGGTCCTTTCGAGCCATCCAGCACTCATTCCACACGTGAAAATTCCTAAAGGAGAAGCCAGAGGAATCAAGGTCAAATGATGCTGAGGGAGAGTCTGTAGTGCTTGTGTTCTTTCCAGAGCAAGGCAGGGGACGGTGGGCAAATAGAAAGACAGATTTAGTGTACCCTGGGCCTTCAAACCTCTATGGGTAAGGGGGTGGCAGCTCTTCCTCCTGTGAGGCCCAACTTGCTCAGAAAAGAACTTTTTTCTGTGAATAGAGAGTGAAGGCTTCCCTGAAGTTAAAGTTAAAAGTTAAAAGTCAAAACTTCCCTGAAGTTAAAAATCTCTCACTCCCCAAAAGGTCCTCTGGCCCTTTCTTGTGTGTGCTGCTGCTGACAGAGGCACTCGTGGTGTGTCTGGAGGTGAGGCTTCAGGCCTTCCTGCGGTCAGAGCTAAAGGCTGATATTAAATGAAGAAGATGACAAATAGGGAAACTGCACCCAGAGTAGAAAGCTCTTGTGATATGAGGATTCTGAACTCAGAATAGGTTTTGTGTTCCACTGTGTCTCAGCCTTCGAGTTGGGGACACAGAGCCCTGGGACTGATGTAAGTGAGGGCGGTGTGAGAGGGCAGAAGGCTTGTGGGTGCAGTCCTACCCCACTCTCTGCTGGAGGGGTTTGCCTTGGAAAGATTGTCTCTCACCAGACAGTGTCCTTCTTCTTATTCTCCAAGATCCTGCCCGTGCTGTCATAATACTCATCTATGATCAGGTTTCCGTCTGTGTCGTGGCCAGAGTCAAAATTGGTGATCACACGGGTGGGGATCCCCAGGCACCTCATCACTGCAGAAAGAGCAAATAAATCTCCTGTGGGCTGTGGATTTAGGAATGCTATGGATTCCCTGGGTGCAAGAAACCATACATTTGGTACTTGCGGGACCAGTCAGGAGCTGTCTGGGGCAATGGGTTGATGATATTGCCAACCTCTCTCCCTGCCTTCCTGAGTTCCTCTCTGGGGCTCATGGGAGAGACTCTGTGCAAAGGTTAGGCTTCTGGTTGGTCAGATAAGCAATGCCAGGGCCAAAAAAGTTGTGAGTTTCCCTGCCTGCAAGCAGAATGGGACAGGCACACCTCTTTTGGCAAGACTCAGTAGCCTCACTTGGTCTCACTTATCCCCTGGCCACGAATCTCCATCTTCAAGCGAAATAGCTAGAATTTTGGCTCAAACCATCAGATTCTTAGACAAAGAGGTCTGTGGCTTGGATTCCCCCCTTTTCATAGGTATATTGTCTTGGAAGCTTATCAAGGAAAGCATCATAAAGGAAGGCAGAAAAGAAAGGAAACTGTAGCAAAAGCTTAGAAAAGTAAGATTTTGTACCTGATAGAGAAATTCTAGAAAGAAAGTACAATACTGTTTTTATTCCTGAGAAGGCAACTCTTCTCTTTGCCAGCCAACTTCTTTGCTTTGTCCCCTGCCATATTTTCCCCATTCTGTACTCTTTAAGTACAGCAATATACCCCAGCGCATCCTTCCACCAATGCTCTGGAGACTCTCTCCCTTCAAATCCAGCATTGGCAGGCCACCCCACTCAATAATAACAATATAATAATAATAATAATAATAATAATAATAATAATAATACCTGCCAGGCATCCTGCTAAGTTGGCCTCAGGACAACTCTACACAGAAGCTGCTATTATTATCCTCATTTTAAAGATTAAGAATCAGAGGCTAAGAAAAGTTGGCAATTTTGGCCAAAGTTGCACAGCTAGGAAGTTGCAGATCTATCACTGATTTCACTGCTAAGCTTGTACTCAAATCTGAGCCCACCTCCTAATATTATGCATACAGTTCAGTGCTCTAGTATTTTCACCTTATTAAACATATCAAGTATTTTCCTATGTGATCAAATATTGGCACCAAGCCTCTCCAGGTCAGGGTGCGGACACATCTCTGGATATAACTCAGAACAGAAAGGAGAGAAGCCCAAAGGGAAACCTGAAGTTCTCCTGGAGTGGCAGGTCTGTGCAGGCCAAGGAATGAGGTCAGGGAGTGAGCAGAGCTGACAGGTGAATTGTAGGTGGAGGTAACACAGCACAGCCTCAGAGGAGAGGGTGAAGGTTGGAAAAACTGCCACTAAAGGAACATGAGATAGGAGTAAGGAAAGAGCATTCAGGTGGCTCGGGAGCATTGTATTGAACACATTTATGCTAAGATTACAGTCAGGAGGGTGGGTAACATTATGGTAATAAGAGAAGGTGCCAAGGAGTGGTGGGTAGGAGGAGGAGGAAGCAAATATCCGTTCTTCACCCTGACTCGTGAATTCTGAACAGCCACTTGAAAGTGGTGTCAGCTCCTGCTCAACAAGGCTGGTTGGACCTTTCCCACCTGAACACAGGCCATTATGTTCACAGTACTCTGGAGTTCTCTATTGGACATAGCACATGTTTGTGAGATTTGTTTATGAGCCTGCTCTCTTGAGGGCAGTGATTGTGTGATATTTATTTTTATCATTATACAGCCATTAACAACAGAGAGCCAGACTTATTTTGCAGAAATTTGGTGCATCGTTGCTGGAGGGGTGAATGAGTGTCTCATGAATCTTTTGTCCATTTTGGTGATTTCTGACTTGACATACAGCGCTACCATAATGACTGTGTGCTATGCTTTGGGTATCAAGTTTGACTGTCCATAGAGTGTAAACTTTGAGTGGTAATGGATTTGCACTGATCTGTTCTCACTCAGTCCTCATCGTGGCTTGTGAGAGGCCTGGGAATGGGGGACAATAGCCTGTCCCAGTGAAGCCATGGTGGGGCTAGAATGGTTGCTTACATGGGGAATGAGGCTTCGGCTTTAGCTTCCACATCTTACTAGGGTGAGGGGCGGCTAACAGTGCTCAGATCTGCATGAAGTTTTCCTGTGATCTTGCTCCTTCTGTCCTGCTCACACTGTCCTCCCACAAAGAGCTCATCTTGTTTTATGGACTCATCTCTCACTTGTGTGCCCACAACTCCTGAATTTGAATCTTGAGCCTGCATGGAAACCTTCTTGCTTCCAAACACATCCCCGTCAAACTTATCTTCCTTGCCAGCCAACAACATCATCATCATCATTGTAGTGCTGGGCACAGTGCCAAGCACTGCATAGGCATGATCTCATTTAATCATCTCCACAACCCTGTGGTTATCCCCACATTAAAGAGGAGTAAGAGAAGTAACCCGAAGCTTAGAAGGGTTGAGGTCACAAGGCAGAAAGAAGAAGCCAAGGCAGGACTTAAGCCCACATTTTTCTGATTAAAGCATCCCCATGCTTCTAGTGACAAGCTGTACCACTGCAACTTCACTAGGCATCCTGGAGACACCTCATTCTCAATGTACCTTTCTTGGTGAAGTTTTTACTGACTACTTCATGCCACATTAGCCTCCTTTATCATGCTCTCACTTAATCTTGGTCACCTGTGCTACATATTTCATCACTGGACGGAGCTCTCTGTGATATCCTTTATTTGTCTTATCTTGTCAGCCAGATTAAAAATCCCCCTAGAGTAGGACCCATAGAGGTCACTTTTCTTGCATTGCTTTGTTTCCAGCACAGTTCTGGGCGCAGAGTAGATGCTCATTAAATTTATGTTGACATGAGTTGTCTTTAATCTGTGGATAAGGTTTCTGCAGACTCTCAGTCCTAATGACTCACAGTTTGACATGAGACTCAAGTGACTCTTACACTGATAATTTTGTAGGAGCTGAGTCCCTCGTAAGAGGGAGGTGTGTGTGTGTTTGTGTGTGTGCACACACATGCATGCATACTCCCACAGTGATGCTTAGAAAAAGGTGGAGAAGATATCAGAATCGGGAAAAGGCTGCAGAGTTCCCAAGGTGTATCCCACCACATCATACTGCCTGTGTGAATTATTATGTCTCCTTATGCAGCCATTCAGCACTCATTCAGTGATATGTGTCAAACCTCTGTGATTAACCAGGCCATTGTTAGATGCATATGTTAGATTCATACACAAAAATGAAAGACATTCCTGTCATCAAGGAGTGCAGCTTCATTTTCAACTGGTGATGGACATTATCCTGATAGTGTATTAAAACATGGAGTTTGTTTCAGGACTGGCTATGAAGTCTTCTCACCAGCTCTTTTCCTTCCTCCCCATGTGGAAGTGTGGCTCCCATTATAAAAGAGAAATTGGTGGAAAGTTAGAGTTCAATTTTTTAAAATATGTTTGGTCAGCTTTGCTGTCACATTTCCACGGTTTATGCTTAAGAACACATCAAAGCTTCAGCTAATAAAGTTGAAGTGTTGCATTTAAAAGTGATAATATTTAGCATCTTTTAATTTCTCCCTGGATACATTAAGCTTCCAAATGGTAAAAGTATCTTCTCCTCCCAAGCCTTTAATTGTTCCTTAAACCAAGATAGTCATATTGTCTTGATTTTTCAGATATACCTTTACACGGTCATATTAGAACTGTTCTTGATTGTCTGCAATGACAGTGCATCCTAAAACTGCTCCAAAAATAATGTCTTCTACAGAAGCGCCTGGGTGGGTCAGTCAAGTAAGGTCTGACTCTTGATTTGAGTGTAGGTCATGATCTCAGAGTTGTGAGATTGAGCCTCATGTTGGGCTCCACACCCAGTGTGGATTCTCTTTCTTTCTCCCTCTGTCCCTCTTCCTGCTCACGCTCCCTCTCTAAAAACAAAAAAATAAATAATATTTAAAATATAATGATTACTTAAAAAATTACCAGGCATGTAAAGAAGCAGAAAAATATAACTCATGACCAGGAAAAATGTCAATCAATAGAACTAGATCTAGAAATGACAGAGATGATAGAATTAGCTGACAAAGACCTTAAAACAGCTATTTTAAATATTATAAATATGCTCTATAGGAAGTAAAGGAAAACAGGAAGATAAGAAGAGAAATGGAAGATAGAAGACCCAATGGAACTTTTAACGATGAAAAATATATAAAACAAAAAACCTACTGGATGAAATATTGCACTATAACAAATATACTTTTTCTTTTGTAAGAGTACTTTCGGAGACAATGTTACATATTAATTTTGATTTACATCAAAATGTTTCCCTGTCATGAGGGGAGGAGACTAGGAATGGGTTATAAGAAAGGAAAAACCAGTTAATTAATAAATTAATTTTTTAAAGAGGGGCCTGAAGGAGACCTGTTATGAGAAGTATTATGAAATGAAGAATATGATTAATTTAACCCTAAACATTCCATGGAACAAAGGAAGGAAATTATATTTTAAAAAAGTGATAGAGATGATGGGGAACTGAGTTTTAGGGGATGAGTAAAAACACTTCATAAGCAAGACCCAGCAAGACCTCTGGAGTCCAATAGTTTGAGATTAAAACAGTATCAGACTAAATATAATAGCTAACATTTATGTAAAACCATGTGCCAGGCATTTTTCTAGGTGCCAGCCATATATTAACCGACAGCCTAGTAAAGGAACATTCTACACAATCTGAGATGTTTCATAAATCAATGGGGAATAATAGTAGATTTGTGTTTGAGCTAAAGGTTGAGGCAAAATAATACACCAGGACCTTGGCTGAGGTTCCTTCTTTGAGAGCTAAGGGCTCAATAAAAACAATGGGAACAAGAGTTGTATTCGAAAGGAAGATAATGAGGTACTTTATAGAAGCCACTATACAACTAAGGGAGAAGAAATCTTAGATGACATCTAGCTTAGATGTGTTCAAAAAAGTTTTAAGCAGAGGATCTCATAAGTGGGGATCCAATACACGGAAGATATACACATGACATAGTTTTAGGTGAAGAAAGGACGGCCCAGCCCCAACCAACACAGCCTCCTCATTTCCTACACCTTTCTCACCATGGCTCCTGGCCCCAGGTGTCTACAGAGGAGAGGATCATGCCCCATAGACCTGCTCACAGTCAACATTCATGTCTTCCAAGTCATTGCTGCCCCTTCCCCCACCCCATGCAGCTGTGGGCAGGAACAGACCAGGCACCTTCCCAGGATGCCTGGCTCCTAACTCTGGGAAACGAACTAGGGTGGTGGAAGGGGAAGTGGGCAGGGGGTGGGGGTGACTGAGTGACGGGCACTGAAGTGGGCACTTGACAGGATGAGCACTGGGTGTTATTCTATATGTTGGCAAATTGAACACCAATAAAAAATAAATTTATGAAGATAAAAAATAAAAAATAATAAAAGTGAAAACAGGGATCCCTGGGTGGCGCAGCGGTTTGGCGCCTGCCTTTGGCCCAGGGCGCGATCCTGGAGACCAGGGATCGAATCCCACATCAGGCTCCCGGTGCATGGAGCCTGCTTCTCCCTCTGCCTGTGTCTCTGCCTCTCTCTCTCTCTCTCTCTCTCTGTGACTATCATAAATAAAAAAAAATTTAAAAAAAGTGAAAACAAAAACAAAAAAACAAAAGCAAAAACCCAACTTTATTGAGATATAATTCACATACCATAAAATTCACCCTTGTAAATTCAAGAGTTCTGATCCAAGATGGTGACAGAGGAAGACCTTGAACTCACCTCCTCCACAGACATGCCAAATCTGTAACTATTTATAGAGCAATTCCTCTTGAAGAAGAACTGAGGGCTGATTGACCAGCTTCTGCACAAGAAAGCTAGAGACCACATAAAGAGTGGTAAGAGAGAGGGAGACATGGTGACTAAGGGAACTCCCACCCCAACTCCATGAACTGCAGTGGGGAGGGAATAGTACTGAGGGACTGGGAGATTAGTCTACCCTTGGATATAGAAAAAAAAGCTGTAGTTTAAAAGGGCAAGAAGAGTGTAAAAGAACCAGTCTCAGAACCCTAACAAATGGTGGCGGTGGCGGGAAAGGGGTGTATCTGTTGGAACTCTCTCCAGGTTCCCTGTCACAGGGAGTGGATGGCTAGAACAGGAAAAACCTGATGACTAAGAGCTGTGGGTGGCCAACCCCGAGTACAGAAAAGGTAGGCTAGAGATTTGTCTGAAATTCCTAAAATAACAGCCAACTAAATGAATGTCAAAGAAAAAGCCCGTTCAAAAATTATAAGTGCATTTTTGATGCATGCAAATTTTCCTTCTGGTGATTTTTTTACTAGGAAATTGAAGTTAATATGTTGACATTTATTTTTTAATTTTTAAAAAGTTTTTAAAAGATTTTATTTATTTTTAAAGATCATATTTATTTATTCATGAGAGACACAGAATGAGGCAGAGACATAGGCAGAGGGAAAAGCAGGGAGCCTGTGGGGAATTTGATGTAGAACTCGATCCCAGGACCCCTGGATCACAACCTGAACCAAAGGCAGATGCTCAACCACTGAACCACCCAGGTGCCCCAATATGTTGACATTTAAATAGGCAGTTCTGAACAGAGGCAGTGCTGCATAGGGGAGAATGCATTTCTGAGTCAGACAAGAGTCACTTGGTCACTTCAAGCCTCAGTTTCCTCATCTGTAGAATGATGGTAATGATATCTAATTTGCATCCACTGTAGCTGGGCACTATTTATTGTTAGTACTCTCCATATATGAATTCCTTCAATCCTTCCAATAAACCTATGAAGTAGGTACTATTACTTTCCCCATGATAAATCTGGGGCACAAGTTAAGCGACTTGCCCAAAGCCACTCAGCTAATTGATGGTAGTGCTGATATTTGAATCCAAGCAGTCTACTTCCAGAGTTCACATGCCTCACCATTATTCCAGGTTGCCAAAATTTTAGCACAATGCCTGGCACAAAAGAAGTCCTCAGTAAATGTCAGCTATTGTGAATGTGAAATAATAATACTACTAATAAATATGCTTTGGCAGCTATATTGGGCTAAGAAATTTGATAAATCCTTAACTTTTAGTGGAGGATAGAGGCTGGGTCTTACCCATCTTTGTATCCAAGAGTACTTAAAGCACAGTGCCTAGCATAGAATAAGGACTCACTAAGTGTAACTGGGTGAATAAATAAGTTTTTCTTTTTTTTTTTAAATAAGTTTTTCAAACAGACATATTTATTAATATACACCATGTTGGCCCTTTTGGGAAAGACTGCTGCTGCCTGAGCAGCAGTTGGATCAAGCCACATTTGACCCACTTTGCCCAACCCTTTGCACCCCAGGTCACTAAAGGGCCATGATTCTCATAAACATTTTAATTGGTCTGCTCTTGTTGCATAATATCCATTAACTGGCTGCACCCCTCTCATCCCCCAGTTCCAGACAACCACACCAAAGCCCTGGTCCTCTTCCTCTCCTGCCCATTTTTCTCTAGGTTTTTCCATGTAGAAGAACCCTCTCCATCATGCACAGGACTGATCCTTTCTCTGTCTGCCAGTCCTGTGCCTGCTCCCTGGATGACTCAGACGGCCCAGTTTACCCATATCTCTGTGGCTCTAAGTATCAAAGCTGTTCAATTCCTGATTTCTTGCTTCTGGGCAATCAAAGCCTCCAGCTTTGATGAGGCTCTGCAGCTGCAGTGGAGGAAGAGTTCAGGACTTCTTCCTCATCAACCCATGTGAAGTCATCCTCTGTGGGTGTTGACAGGAACCTCCTGTACCCTTGGCCAGAGGCCTGGAACTCGCTGCTCAGCAGCTGGGTTGTTTTTAGGCTTCCTCCAAGAGCCCAGAGGTGGGCTTAACATATATATGCACACAGACTGCACTAGATTTTGTCATACAGGGAATTTTTTTCTTTCTTTCTTTTAAGGTATTTATTTACTTATTTACTTATTAAAGAGACTGAGAACACAGTGGGGAGGGGCAGAGGAAGAGAGAATCTTAAGCATACTCCCCTTTGGAGCACAGAGCCTGACACAGCGGAGCTCTATTTCATGACGCTGAGATCATGACCTGAGCCAAAACCAAGAATCAGACTGTGCCACTCAGTCACCCCTGTCCTATAGGGAATTCCTACATGAAAGGAATAAACACTAAATTGTGAGCAGAGCTGGCCTCCCTGGGTTGGAGTAGAGAGCCCTATGAGCAAGAGCTGTTATTTGGTCTCTTTCCCTGACTAACAAGAATAAGAATTTCCTGACTATGACCCAAGTCAGGTATACAGATACAGATGCCTAGAGGCTGAGAGCTGGCCTAGGCATGGGGGGCAGGGTGAGGGTCAGGACCAGTAACAAGCTGGACCCTGGGTGAAGCAAAGGGCCTCCTCTTGCTATCCCTAATGTGTAACTCATTTCCAGGTGTCATTTGCCTCAAGATTCACTGCCCCCCTCTTTCTTCTGCTTGCTCCTCCTGCCACCTGCAAATCAACTTTCATCTACTTTCTTTCTCCCATACGTATTTTTTACTTACTTTATTTTTATAAATTTTTAAAGATTTATTTATTTATTTATTTGAGAGAGAGAGAATCTCAAGCAGGCTTCCTGCTGAGTGTGGAGCCCATCTCTCAGGACTCAATCTCATGATCCTGAGATCATGACCTGAGCTGAATTCAAGAGTCAGCGGCTTGATGAACTAAGCCACCCAGGTGCTGCCCCCCATACATATTTTTTAGCTTTTCTTCTACCCATGTAGCATCTATTCCCTATCTGAAAAGCTGACCTCCTGTTTTCCTTCATCCCCTACCTCCCTGGCCTGAGTCAGGCCTCTAAGCCTGGTGAACATTTTACCTCAACCATCATCTTGCTCTGGCCCCATGGCCCATACCACCACTCGGATGCACACTTTCCTTCCATGTCAAGACCACTCTCTTAGCTTAGAACACTAATCAGTTTGTAAGTTTTCTAATTATTTGGCCTTTCATCTTATTCCTGTCTTGGACCAGTCAATTTCTAACCAGCCTCTTAGGTTGTCCAAAATCAAAGGAAGAGAAGAGCAAGGAAGTGTGCAATTCCTACCTCAGGACCATTCTCTAAAATAAGCCCAGATACATGAATGCTGGAAGTCAGTGATGAGACAGTTTTACAGAAGGGGCTTCCTTTGAAATGCTCCCTGGGATGAGAATGGTTCAGAGTACTAAGACATGAGCCAGTACACTTTTGGTTCTCTTCATGGGACCGTTTCCGCTTCCTACCTGTGCACATGATGGCAGCAAAGACCCAGCACTGCCCGTAGCGCACTGGTTGGCAGCCTGTGGCGTGCCATTGTTTCAGGATGGCCACGCTGCCGGTCCATTCTGCAGGGTTGATACCATCTAAGTAATTCTCACTCCAGTTTCCATTGAGCACCCCATTGTCATCATTGCTGTTGATCTGAAGAGAAACCATGTATAGACACTTGGAAGCATCCTTTTCCTCAGCAAGATGTGATGTGTGGGCTGCCTTGCAAGATCTTTGGGCCTGAAACACAGTGGACTCTGATCTCATTTTATGTGGGGATTTCCAGACCTTGCTAGGGAAGGGGTGAGGATGGGAAGCTGGCCCTTCTGACTTGTCTCCACTGTTTGTTTATTATTCTATTTCTACCCACCCCTTGCAAAGCTAGAGCTTGCTCTGAGAGCTCTTAACAATACTTCAGAGCAAAGGAAATTTACAAAAAAACCAAGACTATTTCCAAACCAGAGCTACACGTGGCCTTCCCTAAAACAGGCAATTTGAAATTAATCAAGGTGATGGCCCATACCCAGCTAATTCAGAGCTCAGCGGAGAAAACCTGTTGCCCAGATTTTTTTTTTCAGTCTCAGCCAAATTAGCTTTACCAGAGGGCCTCTGTTCTTGACTCTTCATCCCCCATTGCAGGGAACAACTGTGAGTGAGTATCCCCCACACACAGCTTCCTCCCTCCCTGGACATACCCTGGGTGGGCAGAGCCAGAGCCAACCTCACCATGGCACACACCACTCTGCTGATGTAGACAGGGCTTCCCCGCAGGGCACAGTCTGTGGCTGGGTCAGTCTGGAAGTTCAGGCTCTTGTCTAGCAGCTCCAGGCAGATGTCTATGATATTCTCTTCAAACTACAAAGGGAGATGCAGAGAGGCAAGGCACCCATGATGGGCACATATAGATAGGGAAAGAAATTCATGACCCACCCTACCCAGCTCTCCAATGGGGTGTGTTTGTGGAGTGCAAACCCATTTGGAAGGTAACTGTGCCCAGTAGCTCAGACATGAACTACCTCCTGAGCAGGCATAGGGTCTGAGAGCTCTGGGGTCACAACTCTCCTGGTTTGTATGTCCTATAGATCAAATCCCTGGAGTTTTTCTCCAGTGAGTCTGACTGGTTAAACTGTCTCTTTCTCCCTCTTCTCTCAATCTCCACACTCTGGAGCCCAGGGGATGTTCTTACTAAAACCGTGTTGCCTCATCTTCCACCTCCACCTGCTGACCCAGCTCATCATTGGCAACTACTGCTCAGGTGCTGGTGCCAACTTGCCATTGGCATCTGTGACTCAGTTGGGCTCTGGAATGACTAATAGCATGTGAGGTATGGAAACTTCCCACCCAAGGCAGGCCGACTTGTCCTTTGGGCTTGGCATGGATGCCATTTTATCTGAGGCTTTCCCTAAACCCAAGCCTGGTTTAGCTTCAGTTATGATGGAGCCACATTCTGTCTTCCCTGCCTGAGCATATGCGCTGTCCCTCTCCAGCTGTTCTTGCAACTCTATGCTCCAGACCTGGCACGGTGCCCAGCACATAGTAGGGATTCCATGCATTCAACTCCATGGTTGAATGGGAGTAAATGAATGCTTTTGTTCCCATGTAATATTCCCACAGGACAACAATAGGATTAGAAGGCTTCTATGGGGCAGCCCGGGTGGCTCAGTGGTTTAGCGCCGCCTTCAGCCCAGGGCGTGATCTTGGAGACCCCGGATTGAGTCCCATGTCAGGCTCCCTGCATGGAGCCTGCTTCTCCCTCTGCCTGTGTCTCTGCCTCTCTCTCTCTCTCTCTCTCTCTCTCTCTCTCTCTGTGTGTGTGTGTGTGTCTCATGAATAAATAAATAAATAAAATCTTTAAAAAAAAAAAGAAGAAGTAGAAGAAGGGCTTCTATGACCCATCTTCCCCACGGGACAGTTTCATCAGTTCACTTTTCTGCTTTAAAATATTCAAAGGCCCCTGGGCCTTCAGAGTCAAAGTTCTAATCTCCTCTATAAGCCACATAAGACCTTCTCTGATCTGGCCCCCTTCCTCCTCTCCAGCATCATGTCTCAATACTTCCTCCTTCATAATTTTGCTCCAGCAACACCAGATTCCTTGTAACCCTTGCAGCAGATCAAACTGTTTCTCATCTTTGTGTTTTGGCTCATACTTCCTCTGCCTTGGATATTTTCCCCACTTTTCTTCACTTGGCTAACTCAGTTTGAGCATCTCCCTTCCTAGGAAGTTTCCCTGACAGCTCCATATCCAACCCTGTGCTCCTCCCCTGGGCTCCCAGAACATTCTGTGCCTATCTTAGTCTTTGCAATTCTCATTGCATAGTAAGTGACCTGCTTATTTGACTGTTTCTCCACTCACTGTGAGCTCAAGGACAGTATTTAATTCATTTTCATATTCCCTAGCACCTAGCACCCTGCCTGGCACTCAGCAGGTATTCAATGTAAGTCTACTGAACAAGAGGGAGAGAGAAAGAGAGGGACCCAGGGCTCAGAAAGTAGCAGCTGCTCACTTCTGTTCCTCACAGATGATGGTAAGCTCCTGTCTCAAGGGGCTCTCCAGATCCTCATTTGTGCATGCCAGGTGAGGAGCTGGGGAGGTCATTTGGGGCCAGGTGAAGTTGCCAGGTCTCATTTTGCCTATGGCTACCTGGGGAGCCTAGGTTATGGCTGAGGCCACATGTGTTAGAGTTTTATTTGGACACATCCAAGAGAGGAACCCATATAAAATGGACACAAGGCTCCACAAGGTGCCCCAGGATTTCCCAGCCAATAGCTATCTGGCAGCCAGTGCTGATCTTCTCCCAGCAGCAGTGTTGTGGTGCTAGGACTCAACCTTGAGAACCCTCTTCCCTGGCCTGCTGCTGGAATTCCTGGGGCACCTGCTGTATGCTGAGCTTTATGTGGGAGGCAGGCTTTCATGAAGGCAAGAGTTGCAAAGCATCATGTTTAACATGATGCTATTATTACAATAAAATCATGTTTTAGAATATGTACAGAAAACAAAATGTACAGGGACATACACTATGCTGATGACAGCGCTTAGCATGGCCTTCATGTTCTAAGTACACATTTTTGCAACATTTCCTTGTAAAGTTTTTAAAACAGCCATATGTTACTTTATAATGAAAAAGATATTCTAATTGGGATGCCTGGGTGGCTCAGTGGTTGAGGATCTGCCTTCGGCTCAGGACATGATCCTGGAGTCCCGGGATTGAGTTCCACATCAGGTTCCCTGTATGGAGCCTGCTTCTCCCTCTGCCTGTGTCTCTGCTTCTCTCTCTCTGTCTCTCATGAATAAATAAATAAAATCTTTTTTTAAAAAAGAAAAAGATATCTAATAAAAACAAAGAGGCAATAGGTACTGGGAGGGAAATGCATCACTGCTTAGCAACCTGGCTTCTGGCTGAGATGTTCCAGGACAAGCTTCCTCAATGTGACAGAACTGGTCCTAGGGTCTGTGGCCTGGGTGATGAAGATAAAGTGAGAGAGGCAAATGGGGTCCTACCGGAAATAGTTCAACAAACAAAAACCAGGCACCATCATGGCCAGCATCACTATTGTCCCTTCGTCCTCATCATCACGCTCATGAAATTTCAGGGTGAATGCCTTTAGCTGCCCTTCCCCCTTAGATCCTGATGTCCAAATCAGACATGATCAGCAAAGAACACCTTCCAACTTTCTATGACTGCTCATCTAGCTGTCTGGAGTGTCATCTCACACTTTACTGTTCTCATCTGTCAGTTCTGGGTGAATTCTGCATGAGGAGAACCCTGCTCCCCTCTTCCCATGAACCATGAGTAGGACTGAGACTTACTTGTCCATAGTTCCAAGGGCATGGGCGGATCCAGTTCTTGTTCCCTTGGTAAATGAAGCCGTAATCATTCACTACATATTCCTGCCTCTGGGGTTCGCTGTCCAAGTAGACAGAATCCTCTAGGAATTAGAGTAGGAGAATACAAAGTACAGAAGTTATTTTGCCCTTCCTGCCCCATTCCCATTCCTAGAAGGCAAAGTCCCATGACAACTGAGGTCTGGGGGCACCTGAATGGCTCGGCTCAGTCCATTAAGCATCTGCCTTCTACTCAGGTCATGATCCTAGAACCACTCTGGGCTCAGGGCTCTGGCCTCAGTGGGAAATCTGCTTATCCCTCTCCCTCCATCTCTCCCCAACTCATGCTCTCTCTGTCTCTCAAATAAATAAAATCTTAAAAAAAAAAAAAGAGCTCTGGGGAGAGCACTGGATGACACCAAGATGGGCAGAAGGGGGCTGGTTCTTGGAGAGACCACCTTCTATAATCCCTCAACATCAGCAACACACATTTGATACAAATATGAGGTTGAATAGTAAAAATTTACCTTTCGTGGAATTCCTTGGTTCACAAAGCACATTTACATCCTGACCCCATTTAAGATTGAGGGAACAGGCTCAAAGTGATAATAAGTCCAAATCACATGTAAGTACAGTGAAATTTGAACAGAGTCCATATGACACCATATTCCATAATCTTTCTGCTTCACTCAACTAATCCTGATTGGAAAAGAGCAAACCAGAATGTAGGGGTTCGCATTAACCTCCTCATTCCTTTTGTAGGAATTTAACCTAAAGACAGTATTTAAGAAGTACACAAAGATTTGGATTCTAAGCTGTTTAGCTCATGCTGTTTATAACACTGAGAAGCTGGAAACAACCTAAATGCCTGGTTCTTGGGAGCTAAATAGCCAGAATTCTGCACACCATTAATATAAGATTACAAAATGGTATGTATAGGCATTGAAATCTACATGTGATATATTAAGTTTAAATGGGCTCTGTAATAATGTTATAGCATGAATTGATATTTGTTAAAAGCATATTTATGCAGAGGATTTTGAAGGCTATCCTGAAAGATGTTAATAGTAATTGGGTTTTTTTTCTTTTTGCCTGTTGGTATTCTCCAGATTTTCTGGAATGATCATATATTACTTTCATGATATAAAAAATTATCTTTTTAAAGTTGAGAATGAGCAAAGAGAGGCCATGGGGGCAGGTGTCCTCTCTGCAGTGTCTTGGAACTGTTTGGAGGCCCCACCAAACCCTTAGGTAAAAGTACTCTCCTCGCTTCCTCAGCCTCATGGACTGTATGGACGCCAATAGAAGAGGACCCCTTGGGGAGATGCATTTTATTGAGGTCTTGCACCAGTGTGGTGAGACCTGCGAGTTCATGATTGAAAACACACACATCCCTCCTCATAGCAGAGGCTAGTAGTGACCTGAGCTGCAAGGTGGGCCTCCCCAGCCAATATGGTGGACATGGCAGTAGGGTAGCCACAGATTCTGACTTCAGCCTCTACTGATCTCTAGCCCCATACTGAGTCTCCCTGGCACTTGAATGGAGCACAGCTTCAAAAATGAAGGCCCTGCAGATATCACTTTTCCTCCTCACAGCTCAGGGGAGACCTCAATACAAGTCTGAAGCCCATTGTCTTGGAGGCCAGCAGGGGTGTGTGTAGGAGAGGGAGAAATAGAAAAAGAGAGGGACAGACAACTGTCTTCCCTGACCCAGTGACAGGGCCTTTTCATATGGCTGATGGGTAAGAATTCTAGGTCACTCAGTGATACTTTGCTGCAGGTGGTGGAAGGTGGCTAGATGCTAGATCCCAGCCAGTTTCTGGTATGACTCACCTGGCCTCTTTGGGATAAGGTTAGGGGAGCAGGGAGATGAGAGGGAGGAAGAGGTGAGGACATCCTCTAACTACAAGTAAGACTGTTGAATCTGGCCTCTGCCCAAAAGCCCACCAGGCCCGATCTCTACTCTCAACTCTTCCTGCTTTTCTTCCCATTCTTTCCTCTTGGCATGTCTTTCATTCTGCCCACATTGTGTCTGTATGTCTGTATAACTACTCTGCCTCCAGGTAGATTTAGATGACAGGGATTGTGGGACAGGTAGTGCTGGGATACTCCCTGTACTTTTGTTCGTCTAAGATAAAAACTGGAAACAGCCAAAACACTCATAATAGGAGGGAGACTAATTTAAAACATTTGGTGTATCCAAACAGTGGAGTAATTGTAGCCATTAAAAAGAACATATTGATAGGAAAATGCATTCAAAATTGAATTGTTGAATGAAAAAAGCGAGTAAAGCATACTATGTACTATAAAATCATATTTGTGGTATGATTATATAATCACACACGTATGCATCTATGTATAAATACATATTTAATTAAGCATAGAACATTTTGGTAAGGCTACACAGGATTGTGTAATGTTAACAGGATTTTCCTCTGGAAGATGGAACTTGGAGATTGGGATAAGGTTTTACTTGTCACTTTATACTTTCCTTTCTCCCTTCTCCCTCCCTCCCCTTCCCTCCTTCCCTCCCTCCCCTTCCTTCCTTCTTTCTTTCCTTCCTTCCTTCCTTCTCTCCTTCCTTCCCTTCTTCCTTCCTTCCTTCCTTCCTTCCCTCCTTCCCTCCCTCCCCTACCTTCCTTCCTTCCCTCCCTCCCCTTCCTTCCTTCTTCCTTCCTTCCTTCCCTCCTTCCCTCCTTTCTTTGCCTTTACTTCATTCCACATTCAATGCAGTGCACTTATTATTCTTACAATGAAAACAGTTAACTTAAAAATGTATGATGGGGTGCCGGGGTGGCTCTTGGATTCAGGTTAAGCATCTGCCTTTGATTTGGGTCATGATCCCAGAGTCCTGGGATCAATCCCCACATTGGAGTCCCTGCTTAATGGGGAGTCTTCCCTCTGCCCCTCCCCCCTCCTGACCTCACTGGTCTCTCTCTCTCTCTCAAATAAAAAAATAAATAAAATATTTTTTTAAAATGTATGGCAGGGATGCCTGGGTGGCTCAGCAGTTGAGTGTCTGCCTTTGGCTCAGGATGTGATCCCAGGATCCCAGGATCAAGTCCTATATGAGGTTCCCTGTGAAAAGCCTGCTTCTCCCTCTGCCTACGTCTCTGCCTCTGTGTGTCTCATGAGTAAATAAATAAAATTTTTAAAAAAAATGTATGGTAAAGGTAGATGTTAATAGTGGTCAAACATTTTTAATAGTTTTATAGTTTTCTTTTTTAAGATTTTATTTATTTATTCATGAGAGACAGAGAGAGAGAGAGAGAGAGAGGTAGAGGCACAAGCAGAAGGAGAAGCAGGCTCCCTGGGGCCTCAGAACTCAATCTGGGGACCCCAGGATCACAACCCGAGCCAAAGGCAGTTGCTTAACCACTGAGCCACCCAGGTGCCCCTATAATAGTTTTTTTTTTTAATAAAGGTAACTTGGCTCATGTTTTTTAAATTCTAAGTAAGTGAATAAATAGCAACTTCTTCCTGCCCTGTTGGTGGTTGGGAGTAGATGCTGAGTGCAAGCAGTTGGGAGGTTTCTGGTAGCCAGGGAAGAGAGGTCTAGAAATCCTTGAGCCTGGCCCTCTGTGGCACTGATAAAGGGGCAGAGATAAGAGACCACATGTAGGCACTCCACCTTACCTGGGCACCAGGGATTGAAGAGTAAGATGAACTCCCCAAGCTGGTAGGCTGTGACGGACCTCTGGAAAGAGTCAATGTGAACTTTCAAGAGATACCGACCCACAGGTGCCGTGGGAGGAGCGCACAGGCTCACCTCCAGGGAGCTGGCCCCGTTGTTCTCCAGCAAGGCAATCCACGGGCTGGGGCCATGGCGACCTGTCAGGCTGAACAGGGCACGAGTCCCGTTGGACAGGTCTGGTAGGGGTCCTGGGAGGTAAGCAGAACTGAGGCTATCATCAGTAACCTCTCAACCCTCCAGAATCTACCTAAATACACACACACACACACACACACACACACACACACACACAGACCCCTCGGAGGTCCTCACCAGTTTCAGCCATGAAGATGACATTGTCCAGGCCTGGCTGGAAGCTCCGGTTCCTGAAGTAGAGAGTGATGTTAAAGGCCTGGCCCCGGCGAACAAGGAGTCGTTCAGAGCTGATCTCCTCTGTGTGGTGCTGCAGGTTGTTCCAGGCGCTCTGGAGGTCTGTGAGGGCCACCTCCAGCCCTGCAATAGGGCAGCCAGGGGCATATGAAAGGGCAGGATTATGGAACCTGTCCAATCCTGCCTACCACTTACTAATTGTACAAACTTGAGAAAGAAACTTGACCTCTCTGAGCCTCAGTTTCCAAGTCAGTAAAACATAATCCATAATACTAGCCTTACAGGGTTGGTATGAGGATTAAATGAGGCTCCTGCATGCAAGTGCCTCTTTCTTACTTCCTTCTTTCCTCCTTTCCTTGCTTCTGTGACCCTCTCTCCCAATCCTGTTTTATACCCTCCTAGTGGTGCATGGTTTTCTGCCTCTGTCCAACCTCTTCTGAAGTCCTGGCCAAGTTTGATTGCTCCCTTCAGCCTACCACATCTCCAGATTCATCCCAGCATCCAGTTTTTGGACTCAAGTTAACAGTTTCACTTTCCCCCATACGAGCCTGCTAATCTGGTAGTTAGCTGCTAAGCTCTTAGCAATTTGCTGACTCTCTGACCACCACTAATGCCATGTTCTTAAGGCCCTGTGAGCTGGGATGCTGAGGATAGTCAAAGGAAGGCCCACTCCCAGGGGTGCCTGGGTGGCTCAGTCAGTTAAGCATCCAACTCTTGGTTTCCTCTCAGGTCATGATCTCAGGGTTGTGAGATCAAGGGCCTCATAGGGCTCCACACTCAGTGGGGAGTCTGCTTGAGATTCCCTTCTTTCCATCTCCCTCTGCCACTCCCCCTCCTTAAATAAAAATAAATCTTAAAAAAAAAAAAGAAGAAGAAGAAGAAAGGCCCATTCCCAGCCTTCTGGACCTTCTAATAAAACACAGATTGATCTCACTGTTCTCCAAGTGTGTCTCCCTGAGAAAGGCTCTATTTCTGACTTCTCCATGTTTGACCATGGCCTTACAGTAGTCCCAGAGCCATTGGACTCACAACATTTAAAGCACAATCGCTCACCCATCTCCTTCTGAGTCTTTATCCATTCATGTGTGTACAAGTCCCTTTACCCCATTAAAATATCTCTGGTGTCCCCCTGTCCATTTCCACATTTACATAATTCTGAGCTCCTGACTTCACACCTTGTGACCATAACAGTCTCCATCAGGTCTCCTGCTTCCTACACCACCTCTCCTAACACATCATCGGATTATCTTTCCTCAAGAGAATTTGATCATTCCATCCTTTTGCTTTAAAAATTCTGATATATCCCACAGCCTATGATACAAAAGGTACACTCCTTAATCTGATATTTATGACCCTCCACACCTGGTCTTCACCTACACTTGAATTCTCCCTGCCTACCACTCCCAGCATGGGCCCTCTCCTATAGCCAATCTGTCATCAAGCAAATGGTAGCCTTACTTTTCCATGTATTTTGATCCTGCTGTAACCCCAACTTAGAATGCCTTCTCATTCCATCTGTCCTAACCAAATATCTCACTGAATTCCACCTTGTCCTCCAAGGCCTGGTGAAGACCTATCTCTTTCATGAGGCCTGTTCCAGTTGACCCACTGCTTCTTCCCATCTCCCATTGACCTATAGTACTTAACTGCATCACTTACAGGGAAACTTAATAGCTTCATTGAGTTAATATCATGCTCATTTGTTCATTTTTATCAACAAACTTTTACTGAAAGCCTACTAATTTCAGGATCAGCTTGAGATGTTCAGATATTTTTGTAGTTTCTTTTTTATTTATCTGTCTTCCACCATAAGATGTCTTCTACCAATGAGGATAGAGGCCTAGCTGTTTTGTCTCAGCTGTATGTAGATTATAAAATATAAACCAAAGCATTTGATAAAATCCAACACCCTCTCATAATAAAAACACAAGTAAATTACCTCTAGGAAAATAAGTAAACTTGCTCAACCTGATAAAGAGTATCTATGAAAGATACACAGCCAAAACCATACTTAAGAGTCAAAGACTAGATACTTCCCCTAAAATTAGGGACAAGATAAGGTAGTCTCCTCTCTCTCTCCATCTAGTCAACCCTGTACTTTAGGTTCTAGCCAATATACATTGGAAAGAAGTAGTACAATTATCTTTATTAACATATGATTTTGAGTATAGAAAATTCTAACAAATCCACACATCAAACTAGAACTAGTTGGCACAGTCACCAAGGTTGTAGAATACAATATGAATATATGAAAATTAGTTATATTTCTATACACTTATAATGAATGAAGTTGCACCCCTACCTCACACCATATACAATAATGAACTCAAAATTAATCAAGGTTTAAATGCAAGAGCTAAAACTATAAAACATTTAGGAGAAAGTATAGGGGTAAATCTTCATGATCTTGAACTAGGGAATGATTTCTTAGATATGACAATAGAAGCACAAGCAATAAAAGAGAAAAACTATAAATTGGACTTCATCAAAATTAATAACTTTTTGTTTCAAGTACATCATCAAAAAAGTGAAAAGAGAAAAAATACCTCAGTTTATCTCAATTTAAGAAAAAAGAAATAAAAATTTAAAAAAGAAAAAATAAAGTGAAAAGACAACCCATAGAAAGAGAGAAAATATTTGTAAATCATATATATGATAAGGGACTTGTATCAAGAATATGTAAAGAATTTATCCAACCTAATGACAAAAAAATAACCCAAATAAAAAATGGGCAATTGATCTGAAGAGACATCTCTCCAAAAAAAAAATATATATGCAAAAGGCCAATAAGCAAATGAAAAATGCTAAATATCATAAATCATTAGGGAGATGCAAATTAAATACCACTTCACACCCACTGGGATGGCTCTAATAAGAAAGAAAATAACAAGTGTTGGATGAGGATGTGGAGAAGTTGGAATCCTTATACATTGCTGGTGAGATTGTAAAATGGTGCAGCCACTTTGGAAAACAGTATGGCAGTTCCTCAAAATGTCAAAAATAGACATCCCTATGACCATATGACCCAGCAATTCCACTCCTAGGTATGTATCCAAGAAATTGAAAACATGTTCACACAAATCTGTACATAAATGTTGATAGCAGCATTATTCATAATAGCTAAAAGATGGAAACAACCCAATGACTATTAACTGATTACTGGATGAATAATATGGTATATCCATAAAATTGGATATTATTCAGCCACAAAAAGGAATGCTGAATATACTATAATAGGGATCCCTGGGTGGCGCAGCGGTTTGGCGCCTGCCTTTGGCCCAGGGCGCGATCCTGGAGACCCTGGATCGAATCCCACGTCGGGCTCCCGGTGCATGGAGCCTGCTTCTCCCTCTGCCTGTGTCTCTGCCTCTCTCTCTCTCTCTGTGTGTGACTATCATAAATAAATAAACATTTAAAAAAAAGAAAAAAAATGATTATACTATAATATAGATGAAACTTGAAAACATTACACTAAGTGAAAGTAGCCAGACACAAAAGGTCACATATTATATGATTCACTTTGTATGAAATATACAGAATAGGTAGACCCATAGAGATAGATGTAGATTAGGGTTTGTCAGTGGCTAGGAGGAGGTGGGAATGAGGTGTGACTACTAATGGGTATGAGGTTTCTTATAAAAGAAATATAAGCGTAATGATCAGGACACTGTAGGTACTAAAACATTGTTGGGGAACCTGGGTGGCTCAGTTGATTAAGTGTCCAACTCTTGGTTTTGGCTAAGGTCATGATCTCAGGATTGTGAGATGGAGCCCTGCATCTGGCTCCAAGCTCAGCATGGAGTCTACTTGAGATTCTTTCTCCTTCTCCCTCCCCCTCTTCCCCTCCCTCTGCTCTCTCTCTGTAAAATAACTAATTAAAATCTCAAAAAGAAAAAGATGTTTGTTAATTTGAACAGAAATCTCTATCTTTTGCAGAATCATTCTGCACTTATTTCAAATTCAACCAACACCTCATTGAAAGCCTATCCACTATGTGCTGGGTACCATCCTAGGCACTTTATCTTACTGAACCCTCACCACAATGGGAAGTACATTTACTATTGGGTGTATTTGTTCTTGATGTGAGGGATGAAATGTCATGTCATTTACACTTGAAGATGAGGAAACAAGGTTCAGGCAGATTAAATGTTTTATCTAAGCTTGAACCTAGGATTACTGGCACAAGTTCTGTGCTGTTTCCATTACGTAATGCTTGCTGCCCATTGCTGGTCTTCACTCATGTTCAGAAAGGACATCCAGCCCACTGTCATCTGGGCTTTCCTCTAGTAGTAGAAAAAAAAAAAAAAAGCTCACTCCTTTTGGAGACCAGTTGACTAGACAGAGATCACTAACTAGCTCCAATTCATGTTATCATGTGACCCATAATACTCAACAGGTATGGCAACATTTGCCTGACAGCAAGCACTGGAACCAGATCTCATCCTCTGGATGCATCATAGGTCAAGTTAACCTCTGCCTATAATTCTGGGATTATTCTTCACCCCAGACAGATGTTCAAATAGGAAGTACATTTACTCTTGGGTATATTTGTTCTTGATGTGAGGGGACAAGGGGGTGAAATGATCAGGGAAATAGAAAGGAAATTATAGGAAGAATTTTTAAAGTAATTGATTTCAGTATCTATCCTAGAGAGACACTCCCACTTGAGTACAGAGGCATACATAAGAATGTGCCCTGCAACACTGCTTATATAACTGGAAAATGGAAACCTAAATGCCTATCAAAATGGGACTGGATAGGGGTGTCTGAGTGGCTCAGTCTGTTGAGCATCCAGCTCCTCCTTTTGGCTCAGGTCTTGATCTCAGGCTCATGGGATCGAGCCCTGCAGCTGGCTCTGCACTCATTGCGGAATCTTCTTCCTCACTTCCTCTGACCTTCCCCCTGATCTCTCTCTCATAAATAAATAAATATTTTTTTAAAAAGTGGTACTGGATAAATTACTTACACCCATACTGTGGAATACTTTGCAAAGTGGAAAATTTTGAGGTAGATTTATAGGTACTGATTGGCATGGGTAGAGCTCCAACACAAACTGTTAAGTGAGAAAAAAAATCAAGTTGTAGAAAAAGATGTACAGTGTGATGATACTATGATATACCAAAAACAAGCTAGTCTTATACTGATGATATATATATATATATATATAGATCAATATAAATATGTAGACAAAAGACTAGTAACAATAGTTTCTCTTAAATATGACCACAGTGGTTTCTCAAGATGAGGCTGGCATTGGGGGTGGCAGTCAGCGACTGTAGCTTTATCTGTAATTATTGTTTTATTTTATTCCAATTATGTATTCATGTATTTCTTGTGTATGTAAAACTTATAAAAATTTAAACGCAAATAATAGTAAATGAAGGTGAGGCTGTTAAATTTATAGAGCTTTGAGTTCATTCTTATAAATGGTTTCAACTAACCATTTACTCTTCATACTAGGCTTTCTAGGGAGGGAGCTGATATAGAGAGATCAGTGGTGGGAAGATTAGCTAAAATGAGGAACAGACCCTCTGAAGTGGGGGTAAAAAGAGAAGATATGAAGATGCAGAGGATTTTGGAGCTGAAAGGCAACTTCAAGATTGTCTTGTCCAACCCCCTTCATGTTTCGGGCATGGGGGCTGGGAACTAAAGAAGTGACTTGCTAAATGTCAAAGAGTCAGTAAGTGGCAGAGGACAGGATCCCTGACCCACTAATCCCTGGCCCTGGCCCTGCCCCATCCCACTGGGTTCTAGAAGTAGGCATGCTGGTCCACAGCTGTTTGGCTATGTTTATCAGTCAGTTTCCACCTTGCCTCCTGGGTCTCAGGCTACCACTAGATTCTGAGGTTTCTGGGTTTCTACTCTTTCTGCCTCAGTTCCTTATTTACTCCTTTCTTCCTCTGAATCCATTCTCCTCTTGACTTCCTCCAGTCTCTATGTCTTCCTTCTCCCTCAGCTCTAGCAACGCTGTGGGCCTCTCCTACCTTGCTCCATGGTGGTTGCCCCTGGTTCCTGGACTGCTCCCACAGAACAGCGTGATGGTGTGGAGCTTCAGGAAACTGATCCTGGATTGTGTTTTTCCCCTTCCATCCTCAAGGCTCCAGGAGACACAGAAGGCAGGGTGGCTGCTGCACTGCCACCTGCTTACTGGGCAGATCACAACTGGTTTTCTCACTTGCCTTCAGGTTTTTCTTGGCAGTGTTGCTTGTCTGGGATGAAATGTGGAGGCCAATGAACTCTCAAAGCCTTATGCCATGTGAGCTTTTGATAGCTCTTGAGCAATGCAGCATTCCATGGCAGGTGCTGTACTATAGTTGGGGAGCCAAGTGGAAGAACTGAACAGATGGGACCTCCCAGAGGTGTAGAGGGGGCTTTGCCCCTGCAGGAAAGAATACCGGGGTCCCAGGATTACAGCTCGCAACTGGGAGAGCCTGGGAGAGTACTCAAGCTTAGAACTCTGCTTGGCTTTTTTCCTGAAAAGTCACATTCTAGACACCAAATGCAAATAGAACCCACTCTAAAACCCACTCTGGATCACCGTTGGTATGATTTTTTGGTATTCCTTTTTTGGCAGAGCTGGTGTGTTGAGTGAGACCTGCCAGGTGAAGGCAAAACTCAAATAAGAGGAGTAGAGGAAGAAAACTTGGGAAAATTCATGGAGGAGTTTTGGAAATAGGTGAGAGAGTGGGAATGCCAGTGAGTGACCTTGATTCTATTAAGAACAACACACATCCTGGGAGTGAGTGTGCAGGGAGGAAAGCACAGATGGGAGAAGACAGATGGAAGGAGGGGAAAGGGCTCTTTACAGGGAGTGGGCTGGATACTCTAAACCCCTCCCTCCTCCACCCCACCACCACATTGCCTTCCTCTCCTGTGGGACCCCTCTCCTTGCATTCTCCTGCTTTCTGGGTCCTTTAACCTTCCTCCTCAGGAACCTCACTCACCACCATCAACTGTCTCTCCTGTATTTTCGACTCTCCCTGTCCACATTCTGCTCTTATAGTATGTGTATCCATGCACATATATAATTCATGCCTCACACACTCACCCACCTTCAATCCAGAATGGAGGGCCTCCTCTTTCCCATTTCTCCTGCATTTCTGGTCTTGGTGAGTGAATATGGTGCCCACTCAGTCACTTTGGGAGAAACCTGGGTGCCACCTTGAATTTCTCTGTCTTCCTGACCCCTTTTAGCCCATCAGTAACTGAGCCCTGCCAGTCCAGCTCCTGATATCTCCTAAAAATTAGCCCATCTTCCCTATGCCCTTGGCTCTGCCTTCATTGAAGCACCCCCCCCCCTTGCCTGGATAACTCCCAACCAGTCTCCCACCCATCTTTTTTTCCAAATAAGCCATCAACATGATTTTTCTGAAGTGCCAATTCAGTCAAGTTACTCCTGGCTTGAAATCCAGCAGTGGGTTGGGACACACGGATGGCTCAGTCGGTTGAGCTTCTGACTCTTGGTTTCCACTCAGGTCGTAATCTCAGGGTCATGGGATAGAACCCTGTGTGGGGCTCCACACTGGGCATGGAACCTGCTTGAGATTCTCACTCCCTCTCCTTTAGGGGTGCCTGGGTGGCTTGGTTGGCTAAATATCTGACTCTTGATTTCAGCTCAGATAATGACCTCAGGGTTGTGGGATTGAGCCCTTGCGTGGGGCTCTGCGCTCAATGAAGAGTCTGCTTGAGATTCTCTCTCTTCCTTTCCCTCTGCCCCTCCATCTCTCCTCCCCTTGCTTTCTCTCCCTCTCTGTCTCACACAAATAAATCTTTTTTAAAAAATCCAGTCAAGTCCAAACTTCTCAGTATCATCTCCAAAGCCCTTCAGGATCAGAGTCCACTCAGGCCAAACCCCTGCTATTCTCAGATGCAGAACTGCTCTCCTGCACCTGTGTTCTTGCACCTGTCAGTCTCTTTCTGAAATGTCCTTCTCTCAGTTGTCTACTTTCTGAGATCCAGGCTCAAGCACTGCCACTCCAGGAAGTCTTCCTAACACCCTCTCTCCACCACAACAGGCATTTAGGGGCAATCCCTCTTCATTCCCTACTAGCCAACTCATACTCAACATTATAAATACTTAACCTACTTTCCCCCAGCCCCCTGGATGGCTTATGTCTTATTATTATATCCCCAGGGCTTATTAATGATAATGTCTAATAGTAAAACTACTTGTGGGACTAGTGACATCTTTTCAGTTCCAGACACTGCCTCACATTCTTTATGTGTATTATCTCACTTAATCTTCTTGCCATTCCCATGAGTTAGGTACTATTATTGTTTCTCTATTACAGGTGAGGAAATTGAGGCTTAAAGACATTAAATAGTTTTCCCAAGATCACTAAGAACTTCTGGAGCCAGATTTTGAATGCAGTCAGACTCTAGAGTCCTGTGTAAGTGTTTAATGCACTATCTGAAGGATGGGCAGTTTCCAGTTCATATCTGCTGGCCAGTGCAGTGAATGAATTCAAAGATGACCCATGCATGAACAAGTAGATAAATACCTGAACCTATTGCCACATTAGTGGAATTGGGTTAGTATGGGGGAGGAGGAGGAGGAGCCCTAGGCAGGAGAACTTAATTGTGAGGAGAGACAGGATGGTGAGTGCAGTGAGGGCAGATAGGCCTGGAGAGGTGGGGTAGCCAAATAGGAAGGTTCCCAGTGGCCATGAGACAACAACAGCCTATTTCACAGTGCTGGGCTAATGAGCCGACTTACAGGTTCAGCTTTTCATTTGATTCCTACAAACATTAGTCAGAGAGTCTGTGGAGGTGCGTGTGCTGCAGGAGAGAGGCAGCACTGATCATAGCAGCTTGTACCTCGGTCAAGGATAAGGGAGGTAGAGGAAAGCCAGGGAAGCTGAGCAGAGTTGATGAGCACCTCCCTGTCTGGAGGGAAGCAGGGCTGTGATCTGCAAGGGAAGGGCACAGAACAGACTCTAGAACACCCAGGAAGGGAGGTGAGGGCTCACCTGCCACCCTCCTGGGCCGGCTATCCCAAGATGGGATACCTCCAGATATTTCTAAGACTCAGAGAGACTAGGATGATAATTCTGGCCTTACCATGAATTCCCAGTATGCCCTTAGGCACATTCCAGTTTCCTTATCTGTAGACTAAAGGTTCATGGCTCCATGGGTGCCCAGGTCTAAGGGGAGGGAAGGGGTTCCCCCACAGACAATAGCAAAGGGAAACCCAAATTGACAGATCCAGTTACGTTCCTCTGCTTCCTCCCTTTTGCTATGACCAGGAATGGAGACAGTCACCCAGCAGAAGTGATTAAATTGATCAGAAGACATGGATGTATTTCATGAATGACAAAGCTCTTTGGGATGCACTCACTCATTTGATCCTCACAGCAACCCTTTGAGGGCTCTGCTACTGTTGTTGGCATTGTCTTGCATCGGAGGGACCCAGGACTTGGCCCAGAGTTTTATTCTTTTTTAAAAAGATTTTCATTTATTTATTGGAGGGAGACAAAAAGAGAGAGACTGAGAGAGCACAAGCAGGATGAGTGGTAGGCAGAGGAAGAGGGAGAAGCAGACTACTTGCTGAGCAGGGAGCCCGATGTGGGGCTCGATGTGAGGCTCAATCGTGGGACCTTGGGATCATGACCTGAGCCTAAGGCAGACACTTAACTGACTGAGCCACCCAGGTGCCTCAAGAGCTCTTTGCTTTATATCACACATTGATGCTGAACAGCATGGACCCCAAAGCTACCAGCCAAAAAGACATGAGTGCCATCATCTCCAGAACACCATGGGGGGTTGCTGAGGAAGACCTGCAATTAGGAGACTTGGGGGCTGGCCTGCTTTGTGTCCCTTTCTCCACATCTCAGACATTTCTTTCAGAGTTTATTTGTGGTCATCACTGCCTGAGAGGCCAGCACACACGGTTTGTGAGACAAGGGGAGGGTGAGGACAGTGAAGTGGGGTCAGTCAGGATGTAATCTGAAGGTGATCTGCAGCAGGGGGCATGAACCTCTGTGCCCTGGACCCTGAGGGGCTTTGGAATTGGAAGGGACTTTGAGATGGTCTAGCGTGTCCAACTGAAGTAGGGAAATGGAGCCAGACAGGCTTGCTCACACACACAAAAAAAGAAAACACTACAGAGTAAAATTTTTAAAGCCAATTTTTGGGTGAGGAGACTGGAAATTATTTGAAAAGTTGATTGGGAAGGTAGAAGTGGCTAATCCCCCTGTCGAAGGCCCTTGAAGGCTCAAGAGGAAGCCTGTCCACTGTTCCCCTTCCAGGGACACAAGTGACATAGCCAGGGAGTTTTGCAACCTCAGACCAACCTGATAGGGGGGCCAATGACTAAACAAAGGGGCGTGAGGCACTTGGCAGGTAGAGCAAAGTTTCAGATTTCCCTAGGAGCCAGCCCCAGTCTCCCTCCCGCAGGTGGGTGGGAGCCACCTGGAACACAGCAGTGGCAGAGCCCCACAGAAATGCCCTTGGCACTCAGTGGGAACAGGCACAGCTGGCACACAGGGTGGAGCTTGCAAAATCAAAATAAATTAAAAAAAAAAAAAAAACAGAGGAAGAAGGGAAAAGTGGGTGGTGAGAGGTGCCACGTGAACCTGCAGAACCAATGAGGGGCAGCAAGGCTGAAGGGCCCATGCCTGAAAACCTGCAGGGTGATGTTCTCCTTCTCTATGTTTCTGGAGTTGCAAAATTTTCCACGATGGAAATATGCCAATTTATTATGATAACTGTGTTTTTAGGGTTTTTTTTTTTACTGAGAGATAATTGGTATATGATATTTTGTAAGTTTAAGGTATACAACATGTTGATCTGTTACATTTATAAATGGTAAGATGATCACTACTTTAGTAATTTTTCTTTTGTTTCTTTTCATTTTTTCTATTCTTTCCAAATTATCTAAAGTGAGTACAAATGGTAGTGTTGCTAACACCTCCATCACATGGCATAGTTATTCCTCCTTTGTGGGGGTAAGAACATTTAAGATCTGTTCTCTTGGTAAGTTTGCAGTCTATAATACACTATTGTTAACTATAATCACAATGCCATTAGGTCTCCAGAATTTGTCTACCAACTGGAAGTTTATATTCTTTAACTAACATCTCCCCATTCCCCAGCCCCTGGTAACCACCAATTTACTCTCTGTTTCTAGGAGTTCAGCTTTTTTATACTCCACATAT